TGACCAAATAAAACTATCTTTCTCAAAGTCAAAGCATTTATTTCAATTAAACCATAATTTGGTACCTACTATTGAAACTTCAACAAATACAAAATAATTAATCGTCTGTTAGTCAGTCCGTCAGTGAAGTTGGGTGCTCATTCCGAAAAGTAGATTCGATTGGAGAAGAACGAGCTTGAAACTCCATTCGTAGTAAGAAACTTCATTCGTATCTGTAAATCATCCACAATTCAAACATTTGAGGCGTATAATTATGATTGAATTCTTTCCAGATTTCTTGTATATGAAAGGGAAACATCGTAAACTGTCAGTGTATGAAGTTAACTGGATATTGTGAAACTTTGCACGATTCGCAGCCGCTGACCGATTTCTGACCTGTTCCTGTTTAGTCTATTCAGTCTCGCCTCGATAAACTATGGCTTCATACGACACGCGATTTACTTCAGTTTTATTTAGAAGTAGGCATAAGGTACCTACCTAATGTCGTCTAAAAAAATATTGTTAAAGAACAACAGAATAAGAGTAGCTGCTTTCTGGGTTAAGTGTTTGGTAAATCTAGTTCCATCTATTAGTAGTCGCTGATGAAGTAAAATATCTATTCGAATATGCGTGACTTCTGCATAGCGTACGGGTGCTACAAAGATATTTTTAACATCTAGTCACACAGTGACATTCAATGCAAGTAGAAAGTGGTTTAGACCGTGAAGAAAAACAGAAGGATAATTGCATTAAGCAAGCTTAGTAATTAATGCTCAAACCTCCTCCGTGCTAGAAGAGGCCTTTGGTCAGCAGTAACCACGTATAGGCTGTTGATTGATTGATTGAAGCAGCGGATGAAAGGTAGTCTTCAATAAACCGAATGTAAACTAATACGTTCCAATCAATATTGGAATTCACGTTTCCTTGCTTAGTTCACTATTGGTTATATTGTTTGCGACCAAAGTTTCTGCCGACTGTAACAAGCTTCAACCAAGTCTAGGTTGGCCTTCTATTTTCAGTTGAAAATAGAAATAGGTTGGCTAGCGTTTCAGTGTTCCGGTTCTTAGTTTGGTTACAGTTTAAATCCAGAATGATCCTCTAATGAGTTGACGTGCCTTCTTTATATATATAATTCTTCTGTGAGTGTCTATGTCACTGAACCTCTCTCAAACGACTGGACCGATTTTGATGAAATTTTTTGTGTGTGTTCAAGGGGATCTGGGAATGGTTTAGATTCACAAATCAGCCCGGCAGATGGCGCTGCAGTCGTTTAGGTTATTTATCCTAAACAGCTAAACTAATTTCAATGAATTTTTGTTTATAAATTCAAGTGGATATGCAGGACAACGTCTGTTGGGTCCGGTAGTATTATATATAACTCCATTTTATTTTGCTATACTGTGTAACCAGTAACCCTTCTCTGCCGGTTTCCGCTACGGTAACTGTCTCTCATGGGCTCCCATAACATCATGCCACGCTTCGGCAAGAATAGGCCGGCTCGACCGGAGTGATACCACGGCCTCACAGAAAACCAACGAGAAACAACGCTTGCGTTGTATTTCGTCGTGTGAGTGAGGTTAACGGAGGCCCAATTACATCCCCTCCCCAGTCTCCCCACTCCCGAATCCTCCACAATCCTCAAATTCCTGCCTTGGTGTTTCAGGTGTCCATCGGCGACGCCGATTGCTTACCATCAGGTACAGGTACCATCCGTATGCTTTTTACCGGCTTATGCCATAAAAACAATATGAGTATTAATAATAAAGACTTTCTTTTTTTTGTTTTTTATAAAACTTCCCACACTAAGATTTTCTCTTGTGTCGTGGATGCGTTTACAAACATACAAATTTACATACATATACCGGAGCCGAAACAACAATTTGAGGATCACACAAACAGTTGCTTCGTGCGGAAACCGAACGCGCTACACGTTGCACGGCAGCCATACACCAATATACTAAACTCAATAATTCTTGCCCAACGGTAGTCGCCCGGCACGAATAACAGGCTGAAACAATCGATTTGAAATCGATCATTTCAGTTGGGTTCTAGAGAAGCTGTTAAAGTTTAACTATTCTTAGAATATGATACACAAAACACTAGAGAACCACTTAAAATATTCATAAGCCATTCCTTTAAGTTCACAGAAGTTGTAAACTCTTGGAACCCATAAACGTCTCGGAATAACTTTCACTTACAATGTTTACAAATAAAGAGCTTCGTTAGCGTATGTACCTTGTACCTACATGAAAGGGTATCGTAATGTTTGGGCGACACCTGCTACGCGCATGCGCTTTACAGCCGCTTCAAAGTAACGCACCTGACTTATTAGGGCCAGTATACATTTGATGTACTGAAATCTTCAAAATATAATATAGCGAAAAATATACATAATGTTTAATAAGGTAAATAAATCTTTAGTAAATAAAATTGGAAGGTTGTATCTTGTAATTGTTTTAAAAATTAAAGTTAAGAAATGTTTCTATTTGCTTTACAACAAATTATAAATTGTTATGATACTGATTATTTTTATCTGACGACCTCTCTTGCTTTGAACTCTTTGTTTGAATTAGATATCCATTTTAATGAGTTTATATTTATACAATATCTCTGACGCATTTTAAAAATTATGTTGAATTTTAATCTAGGTAGCATATTTTTATTTTGTTTATAATATTTTCTTTAACTTGCAATCTAAGTACGTATGAATGTATGTGTCTGAATTGATAACCTTTCAACAAAATTTTGAAGCAGATATCTCCAACCGATTAAGTTGAAATTTTGCAAACACATTTAGTTTGCAAGACTATAAATGCTTAGCTGATCATAAAGACTTATTTTTAATCACTACTCAGTGATGTGCCATCAAAATAGACAACCGTATGTTTGACATAGAAGTTTGTCTTGATATGTGTACCAGCCCTAAGGCATTTTAGCCGAGCTCCCTCATCAACGCACGTTGTAAGCAACGTTTAATTTTAGAAGTCAGCCTGAATATTCCTTCCACGATGAAAGCTTTACGAACGATGTGGTTCCATACTAATCCCGAAAAGAAAGGTGGGCATTCTCATTTTGTGTGAAAATACCGCAATTTATTCAGATTAAAGAAAAGAAAAATGGGTTTTGTTTATGCAGGAGATTTTAATGGCTTTATAGAATTTAAGAAGTACGCATTTTGCTTTGTGGTTACCGCGATTAGACACTTTTTATTAGTTCATAACATTTTTAGCGTTATTTGTAGTCAGAAGTTAATCTATAAAAATAAATAAAATTGATGTGTCTATATCTAATATAAAAATAACCGCTTTTTGCTACATGTATATGAATATGCATACTATACACACACCTAAATATTTTTTTTTCGAATTTCTGCCTGTCTGTTTGTACTGCGTAATGTCTGAAATGGCTAAACCGATTTTGACAGCACTTTGATTGACAGGTAGCTGATAATACCAAGGAGTAACATAGGCCTTAATTTTATTTTGAACAATTAAAATATAAAAATGGTATGTCCTAAAATACATATTCTACGCGGACAAAGACGCGTGCAACATCTAATTATTACTAAACTTAGTTAGACAAATTAATATCAGGTAAATTCACTTAGAAATCAATGCTAACTTCAATCTATTTGAGAAAAATCCTAGAAGATATGGCTGTAACAACCTCATTAGTCTAAATATCTCAAAAGCGAAACTGTGGAGTTAGTTATGTAATACATAGTCACTATTGTACTTAAATACGAAGCATAAATGTGACTAGAGTTTATGGTTTAGTTTAAAAATTCGATCATTTTATTTTTAACAAGTGATGAATCCAAATGCTGACAGATAGATGGGAGAAAAATGGAAGAATTATTGTAACGATTTAGAGTGAGAGTGATGAGGGCCCCTAATGTTATTATGACAAAGGAAAGAAGACCATATTATTACCAAAAATGTATAATGAAACTGTCAAACACCGCGAGGTCACCGGTGACCGCAACCGTTCTTTAATTGTGTCTATAATGACGGTACTCAAAGGTTAAACTAAGCGGGTAAATTATAAATGACTTCATAATCTACTTAAATGATTTTCAGTATAAAATGCATTCGCATTTAATATCTACGTGAATTGATTGTGAAGCAATTAAACAACGTTTAAACAATCACATCAAGAGGCTAATGAACTCTTTAAATTCCAGTCGCTAAGGACAGACGTGGTCTCACTAAAATCTAATTTAGGCGTAGATACACGTAGCTAGTTTATACCTTCAGCAGAATTAGTGAACAATTACAAACCGCATTATTGTTTGAGCTTCGTTTACAGACAGATAATAAATTTAAACTTGACATTAAATCTGTCTATACGTCATAATTACACACACAATCATGTACTGATTGTATCTAGGCCTTTCATAAAATATTCTTGTGTAATTTGAAATGCAAATGTGGACTTTATTAGGTACGAAAAATAAGCCGTCTTGCAAAAGTTTAATGAATATTATAAATTCTGTTAAGTCTTGCTTTGAGATGTCTGTATGTCAACCCATTTTTATGTGTAGATAGATCAGGTACAAACTGAAATTTTAAAAATCTACTTTTGATGCAAGCTCTATTTAAAAAGTAGATATTTGTAAACGTACCTGCTTACCCACCATTATTCCTAATGTAGGTACCACTAATTTAAGGAAAAATATTTGGAAAGTGTTAAACCAGTTAGTACTGAGAAATAACCTTATACCTATAAATATTTTGTTCTGGAATGAACTGAAAAAAAATTAAGATATTTTTTTCAAAATACTAGTAAAATCAAACTGAATGTAAGTAGCTTCAAACATAAAATAAACCCCGGAGTAGAAAATCTAATTGACTCAAATCCGATTCTTTTGACGAGAGCCAGTATTATGATTACAAAACACAACGCAACTCGACTTGAAGTGTTATAAACCGCTTTCAAAGCTCAACCATAAGAATTGTCTTTACCTATTATAGGTATACTGTCTTAACCCACCCTTTGGCAGATGGACGCGGGCGCGCGACCGGAGCAGTCGCGTGCCGACGCTAACGCCTACAATTTTTGTAATAGTGATTACGCTGTGTAGTGTCATGTGCGATTTGCTATTGTGATTTTTGAAGGCGTACGTGAATGTGAGTATATATTTCATTAAACATTTTATAGTTATTATAATGGTCAATAAATAATATGTGTAATGTGATTAATTAAAAACAACAAAGTATAACAAAGTACCGCATCGAGATTTATTAGAGGGCTAAGCGTGATCCTAACATGTCTTATTGTGTTAGGTGGTATTTTAGGTACTTAATTTTTTAACAATAATATCATTATTTGTTTTATTTACTTAATTATACACTGTTTATTTATATAAATAACATAACTTATTGAATGCTAATGAAGGATTATAGGAATTAAATAAATTTTTCATACCGGTTGGCCACACAAAAGATTTAGGCTGCTAAAGGAATAGTACTGAGATAAAGTTTACTGGGACAATGGGACCATTATAATTGTTTTGACAGTTTTTCCATTTAAAATATTTAAAGTGCTTAGCCGATATAAACTTAACATTCTCGTACCTTTATTTTAGTTTACCGTAGGTATTGATTTATCATTGACATCGGAAATAATATATTACCAATCGTATTTAATATTATAGTCAGATATGGAGATTATATACTAAAAAAATTAGATTTGGTCGATATTTATTATATTAAATTAAATAAATGTTATTTTATAAATCAGCTAGCTCGTTTTCCCCGCGTCTTTACAGTGCGAATTAGTTATTTAGGTAGTTTTTTTAAACGATATATTTTAAAATCGGTTTTTTATTTATTTATTAAGGAAAAACAAACAGTAACATATTACAAAATATATATAATTAAGCTTACATATTATTTATACTTGGCAAATATGGCACCCATTATGTTTTCCACAGATTACTTGTTCAGTAAAGATGCAGCTTTCTAATGGTAAAATAATTGTAATGAATTGTTCCAGTATTCATTTGTAATTACTTCATGTATACTTACTTACATTACAAACATACATACAAAAACATGTACCTATCCTTAAAATTAGTAAAGATTATTTTTATTTACTACCTCGTTGGCCGAGTCGTCGCAAGTGCGACTGCCGGGCAAGGGGTATCCGGTTCGATTTTCGGGTCGAGCAAAGTATTACTGGGTTTTAAAAAAATCTCAGTAGTAGCATAGAGTCTGGAATAGTGCTCGGTATATGGCAATAGGCTCACCCCCTATTACATGGGACTCATAACATAAATAGTGAAAAGTGGGTGTTACATTGTACTGTGCATCTCTGCCTACCCCTTCGGGGATAAAAGGCGTGATGTTATGTTATGTTATGTAGCATTTCTGCTATAAAACAACAGTAAGATTACAAAATCAAAGTGACAAAATATTGTGTCACATTATTATAAGGAAACTGAATGATGTTATTTAAGTTAGTCTTTTAAATAATAAATATTTTCTTATATCGATATTTTTATTTCTTAGTCTCCGCACTATGCGAGTGATATTCGTAGGTGCGCTTCGTGGAATACGAAATTATTTATTTTAATTTTTTATTTTAAGCGCACTTACAGGTGTGCTAAGTGGAATACTTTAGGTGCGCTTCGTCTGGGTGCGCCTCATGAATACCTCGTCAAAACCTATCGAATTGAAATTATTATTAATATAATTAATATTAAATTATGGATTTTAAGTCGAAAAAACTGAATGGAGAGTGTATTTATATCCTATTCCTATTATTATTTAGCTGTTTGTTTTGGTCATATCAATTGACATATTGATATGGTGATAAATAAGAATAATAATAATAGTCGAAGGTATCTTCTATCTTCTATCTATATTAATAAAAATGAATGTCTGCTTGTTAGCCTCGCTAAAACTGTAAAAGGGCTGAACCGATGTAGCTTATTTTGGTTTTGAAATATTCGTGGAAGTCCAGGGAAGGTTTAAAAGATGAGAAAAAAAATATTATTTTCTTGTGTGCCATTTCGACTTATTAATAATTATTATCTCTAGAACATTCAAATCTTTTTAATGATTTTAATGGGCTTAAAGTTTTGTGATTTCACATCAATAACTCAGAATTTTCGTTCAACTGTTTTCTCTTTATTTATTTAAAAGAACGGCATAAATTTAGAAATACGACAAATTAACTCAATTCGTATTGTGATTAAATCACATTAGTTATGATAGATTATTTTTTTACTTTTATCCGAAATATTTTTTCCTTCTATTCTTTTTTTTAAAGGGGGAAAATCATCGAATGACTGCTCCCGCCTGGGTGAGGCGGAAGGGAATGTCAGACTCTTACTGTATAAAAACTACCCCCTCCTACTCCTGCACGTCGAGCCGGAACCCCGGTTACAACTTAGGTTCTCCGCGACTCCTTCTATTCCTTTGTTTTAATGTTTTTGCAAATAATTTGTATTACATCTGATATTTATTATGTAAAACTTCTCGTTCTTCCGGGGGGTGGGGACGTGGCGATTTGTAATAAACATTTTACGCCTAACACAGACTCTTAGCTCCAAGCATTGCTATAAAATTAGATTATAAATAAATTGTAAAACTTATAATATATTGTAACTTATTTATGATTCTTAAGGTTATTTTGATTTTCTTCTCGTACAAGAATTTAAACTGTCAAACACCAAGCGGTCACCGGTGACCGCAACCTATTGTTCTATAATTGTGTCTATAATGACGGTACTCGACGAGTTAAAGAACCTTATACACGCGTATAAGGAGAAGTTAGATAGCATAGAATAGGTGGATGATAAAGTAGATGATGTTAAGAACTTTCTTGTGATGCTTCTAGTCAACTTCTAGGGTTGAGCGTGGATGCTTTTTGAAGTATGTGAAGAGATGTAGGCATGTGGAGAGTGTTGGCTTTTTATTATTATTATAGATCCGAGTTCAAATCCGGGTCCATGGAAATGATATGATAGTGTTATTCTAGTTTCTATTATAACCATTGTTTGTTTTATGTAAGGGTAATGTCGTTTGATCCCTATCGAAGAATAACTTCAGTTGTAAAGATGTATTATTGTGAACGTCCTTGTTGGTAGAGTGATTTACGCTGTGCTTGTGAGCTACAGGTCTCGAGTTTGAATTTTTTTATGGAATAGGAGGCAAACGAGCAGACGGATCACCTGATGGTAAGCGATCAGCGCCGCCCATGGATATCCGCAACATCAGAGGTTTCATTGTTTTATTCAAGGTTGAACAAAAACTTGAGTTTTTTTTTAATATTTCCGAAGATTTTAGAATTACGTGGCGGTTATAGTAATATGGATAGTACATTATATCCACTCCTATTTCATGAATTAGTAGTAGCAGGGAATTAAAAATGTGTGTAAAACCCCATTGAAAGAGTGGGTTATTTATTATAACTTGATGAATATAACAGTAGAGAATAGAGCAGTCACATAGCTGCCTGTACGCTTTTTGAATTCCCGAGCCAAAAATTTGGACGGCTCGAGGTGGTCTCTAGGGACTTGGCAGAAAGCCCGGCTTGGTCAATGCCTCCATTTTATGTATCTACACATGTCTTCGCGTGCTGCAGTGCGCAGATAAAGCTATTCTATTGTAATCCAATACTTAAGTTCGTTTATTGAATTGTTAATTAAATTAAATTGTTCTATTTGCACGACACATAATTATACCAAGTACTTAACAAGTATTGAACCGATGACGCGGATGACGAGTCACATAACATAATATCACACCTTTTTATCCCCGAAGGGATAGGCAGAGGTTCACATTACGGCACTGAATGCCACTTTACAATGTAACATCCACTTTTCACTATTTATCTATGAGTCCCATGTAATAGGGGGTGAGTCTATTGACGACGCGACGAGTCGTTGTTGCTTTTAACAAAATGTTAAAGCTATAAATACATTAATCTAAGAGAATAGGTATTTTCTTATTCTATTATAATAGGTCTGCATCACACATCAGATTCAATTATTGCAAATTTAAAAATCATAAGCTCTCTTTTTTATATTCATTAGATTTAGGATCTCGATTCACTTCTAGATAAACAAATGGACCAACTAATTAATTTATAGAGCTTGTGATATTAATTGTGTTTGCAAGATATCAAATGTCCCAAAATAAATCCACTAATAGAAAAGCAAAAGACTAATTTTCATAATAATAGAAACCCCAAGAGCTTATGTTTTGAATGTGTTAATATCAATTTGTTTGGAGGTCACATCTGTCCCGAATTCGGGCAAAGCATTTGGGCAAAGTTTTGTTTAATTAAAATCATAGGACTGTCCTCAGTGTACGTTGGAGCTATCAAAATTACGCTTAAGTTGTACATCGTGCAAGTGCTGTCTACTTTATGAGGGTTAGGAGACGTAGGGTGGAAATGCTAGTTCAGATTGTTTAGGGAAACTATGTTATTAGATTTAGATCTAAGGGATTCCAGATTGTGAGACTCGAGGCACAGCTATTGCATCACGTAGACAAGACAAACAGGATTTAGGCAGACTGCTCTTTGACGACGCACAGCTTTAGGGGCTTAACAAAAGTAGGTACATATAGTAACTAATTTTTGAAGCAAGTGGTTGCAACAATATCTATGTTAGTAGAAGGTGGTATAGACTATAAGACACAGCATAGAACTTGCGATACCGGGTAAAAAGTGGTCGGTCCCTTCGCCAACCATTTGCCCAAATAATAACTTTATATATTTGCACAAGTGACACATACCTGAGACATGTTCTAGATAATTTATGATGAGCACAAAAGATCCATGGACAAAAGTGTGCTCCAAGTCCCAGGGATCTGATTTCAGAAACATTTCCATTGCTCTAATGGAATTCTGTTACAATATTTAATTAGTGTCAAGGGAGAATCCACTTAATGTACTCAGGAATACGGTGAGAGTACCTCATTTATTGGATGGAGATGGACCATCCGGGTTTATTTTCGCTTTTAATGGGTGACCCGTATTGTTTGAAGCTTTTTAAAAAGACGTTCAAGGCCGTTTTCCAGGTTACTTGTTCATCACTGTTTTGTTTTGCAAGGAGGAGGAGGTTATATTCGGTTTAGAAAAGACGTTGACTAAGCTAAATATGACGGCTTAATAA